CGGATGGATTAAATGAATAAATAAAAAATGAATTGGATGGATGGATAGATGAATAGTTAATAGATAAAAGAATAAACAGATTAATGAATAAATAATAAAAAAATAAATAAAATAATGATAAAAAATAAAAAAGCAAATAGGCACAAGAAAATGAACGGACAGACAGAGGAATGGATGGATTAAATGAATAAATAAAAAATGAATTGGATGGATGGATGGATGGATGAATAAAAAATTAAATAAATATAAAAAAAAAATCAAAATTAATGAGATTACGCATGATTATTAACACGTGATTATGCTTATATATGTCTTATATAATCAAAAAATTTTTATGCATATGCACATTATGCGTATGTTTATAGGTTATATGGCCCAACTCGGGCCATAAAAATTTATGCATATAAGCAGGTTATGTTTATATGCAGTATGCTTTTATACAGGTTCGACTGTACATAAATTTAAATATATTTGAAAAATGTATAAAAATGTATCTGGATAAATTTAAATGGATATATGCGAATATATTCAAAAAATATATCTGAATAAATTCGAATACACGAATATATGCAAATATATTCGAAAAATATATTCGAATAAATTCAAATACACGAATATATGCGAATATATTTGAAAAAATGTATCTGGATAAATTCGAATACACGAATATATGCAAATATATTCAAAAATGTATCTGGATAAATTCGAATAAACGAATATATGCGAATATATTTACATATTTATCGGAATAAATTCGAATATTTAATGTGGATAAATGCGTGAATGGTCAAATATATCTGAACATATTCAGTTCAAATATATTCGGATATATTTATTATTAAAAATTTCCTAATGTCTAGAAATAGGAACAGTTGCTTCTAGAATTTTTAATATTTGTATTAATGCTGCATTAGTTGAAAAATTATGAAGTAATATGGAATTTTATCATATCAAGAATAGAAATAAATTGAAGGTAAAAACCTATTTTAATTAAATTAAAATTCTTATATTTATTTTTATTTAATTAAAATTTTTATTTATTTAGTATACACGTGTATTAGATATGACAAAATATTATACTGATATTACATATAATAGAAGATTTTATAAAGAATCTATTGTATCTAATATTATAAATTCTACTTTAGAAATTGAAATACAAGATAATGATTTAAAAACAGAAACACAAGATAATGATTTGAAAATTAAAATACAGGAAGTTAATTTAGAGACTGAAATACAAAATATAAATCATAATTTTGAAATTGAATTAATAATTGAAGAAAATGAAAAAGTATCAAATAATAGTGAAGATGATGAAAATAATAATATAGATATAGAAAATATTTCCCAAAAGTTTACTGATTATTTATCTGAATGGATGGGAATACTTGAAACAGAAAGAGAAAATTTAGAATTTTTGAAAAATATGATTGAAAATATTGATCATCCAATAATAAATATTTAAGTTAAATGGAATTTATATATTATATTCAAAGATAATTTACCTTATCCTTTTGATTAATAATATAATATTTTTTTTTTATTAATAAAGATTAATACAATTTAAATATCACATGATTTATAATATTTAGTACAAGTACAATATATTACAAGATCAATTAAAATTATTAACCAATTAAAAATAATAAATCACATGTTTTATATGTACTAAATGTACTAAATTTTGAAAATTTCATAGTACTAGTATAGTACAAATTCTCAACCCTGACCTAAGGCATAGTACTAACAACCATATCTCACCAGCACAAAATTATGTTGTGATAAATTATCGCAAAATAGGACAAATGCCTGAAGAAGCAAGACCATTTCAAATCTACAATGATAACTAATCTCACTTCTTTATTTTTATTATATGTCCATCAAGCTCAATAATATAATTAGATTTAGATTCAAATTCAGAGTTAGATCCAGATGAAAGTGAAGACTCAGATGTGAATTCAGATGTGGTATCATTAAAAATAATCTTTTTTCTTTTAACCTTACATGGGATATATTTATGTCAAGAAAATTCTGGATCTAATATCGACTTTATAATCTCATAATGAATCTCAGGTTTTATTATCTTTAGTAATTGGCAAAAAGAGATTTGAATTTTTTTATTTAACACTTGTTTAATAATACGAGGTATTATACTATTACCATTTCGAAATTCATGATTATTTTCTGATGTAGCTTTAGCCATTGTCAATATTGTAATATTATTTATTAATACAAGTAAAAATATATAATTGAATATATTATTAAATATAGAATTACAATGATAACTTTATCTTGTGAAATCAGTAAAGTACCAGTTACAGCTATATTAGATTCTGGTGCTAATTGTAATATTATAGATAAGGAAGTAGTAAATGGGTTAGGCTTAAAAATTGATGATAGCTTTGATATAGAAGTATACAACCTCATCAACAAGCTTGATATTGTAGGGGTAATTCATGAAATAGTAATTTCAATACCATCTTAAAACTCTAAATGAAAACAAATAAAAGTTACTGATGTTTTCATTACTAATAAATCTGAACTTGAACATGTATTAATATTAGGTCAGCCATAGTTTAAAGATAATACAATGAAAGTGAACTTCCCAAATAAAACTCTTACATTGCTCGATAGAACTAGTTATGAGGTTAAATGTAATTAAGAATATCTGAAAAATGTGAAGTATATGTACCTAAAAATAGTTATCTGAACTATACTCTTATGCAAAATTATTTTGGAGTTCCGAAATTACAATTTCGGGAAAAAAAGTTGAAATAGTTTTTCATAAAATATGAAATTATTTTACTTAAAACCTGAAATTTTTTAACCACCCAGATTTATTCTTTGATTAAAGATACATATAACTAGATACTTTTTTTACTTCTATATATAGAATAGATTTTGTATAAATCTCAAAAAGTTGAAATACATCAAAAATCCAAAATCAATTTTGGGAACATGTATAATCTGAACATTAGTTATTTTTTCAATTAAAGATATAATAATATACAATTTAAGAATAGTACAACTATTGTAAAGCAATGACTCAAAGGATCTAAATATTTTGATTAACTAGAATTGTTAAAACAGATCTTATATTTTTTAGAAATTGATCAATCTCTCTATCTTACTTTATTTGTTAACCACCTTTGGTACCACTGCAGTACACTTATTCTATGGTGTCGCATTAAGTTTTTTACAAAAAACAATTATCAGAGAGGCCGGCGTAATCGAAAGATGCCTCAAGCTCATACTCAGCAATTGATAAACTTTAAAAAAGTTATGTGTGTAAAGATAAAGTTAACCTATTGCTCTAAGATGGTATATCTCAGATTGGAAGGTTTAAAAATTTCATATGTATTAATTAATACAATTTTACGCTTATGCCCAAATATACACACTTTCATTCTTAATTGAGGTAATGGTTTCTCGAACATATCAATTATAGAAATTGCAAAATTTTCTCCGAAACTACAGTATCTGAGTCTTAATTCATATATATGTCTTACTGACTGATGTATCACTGAAATTGCTTGATCATACTCAAAACTTAAACATCTTGAGTTTTGCTACTGTTTAATTGGTGATAAAACTGTTGAGGAGATAGTACACAACTGCACTAATTTGAAATATCTTGATTTGGGGAGATATAAAAGGATTAATGAAGAAGTAATAGAGAAACTCAATTCAAAAATTAAAATCAAATATCCAGATTATTCAGATGATGAATGGTCCAATTCCAATTTAGAAGATGAAAATGGTTTTATTTCTATGTTCAGTAATTATATCAGAGTATCATTAGAATCGACTGATCCAGAACAGAATAATATGTTAAATAGTCTTATTAGGGATATTCATCAAGGATTATTTCATCAATCATGGCAGATCTTTAGGGCAGATAATTAATTATCCAAACTCAGTTATTTTTTTGGTTAAAGATATAAAGTATATATAAATTATTTCACCATGCTAGTAAAGATAGTTAAAGCTAAAGTAGGAGGACAAAAAGTTAATTGTCACCTTGAACTGGATTTTCATGGTCCTTACATATGTAGTGATAAGCTTCTCAATAAAATCAGCAACAAAATTAGCAGAAAGCTAACTCCTGAAGAAAAAGATAGTAAATTTGGCAGAGAAGAAACCACAACCCCCACTTGAATTGGCCATAATTCCACTTACCTTCACCTCCAACATAAAAAATAATACTCAACTTAGTAATAAAAAATCAATTACTATACCAACTGAAGTACTTGTCAAAAAATATACCCCTAAATTACCTAATTATATATTGCTTGGTGATAAATAATTTTATGGTTGAAAATATGATGGATTACAAACATACATACCTGAAATTGTGACCGACACAGAGAATACCTGACTAAGAATGACATTGCGTATCAAGGATCTTAGCCATGGCCAGAAAAGACCAAGGATTATAGTATCTGTTGACAAAAGAGATATTCATGATTTTTACAAAATACTTCCTGGGAAATCGAAAGATTCACTGTCTCACAGATCAAATATCTCTGCAACTTCTGATTCAGACACCTCTGATTCAAATTCTTCTTCCAATTCAGATACTTCAGACTCAAATAGTTTTTCCATGTATCAGAAGATAAGCATGTATATAAGACTGTAGCAGTTATACATCTGAAGTAATGTCGCAAAGTAAAAAAGAAAAAATAATTATAACCACATTGTGATTCTGACCCAAATTTGAATCGAAAAATGCAGTAAATATAGGTACTATGGCTAAGTCTCAAAATAATAAGTGTAAAACGATGGGAAAATTTACCGATAATCCTTCCCAATATATAAAGCTGTTTAATCCAAATAAATATGAACACACGTACGACCCGAGGAATAATTTTGTGATAGTTGAAAATAAAAATAAGGGAAGTATAGTTGGGGTGTTTGATTATTCTAAATTATATATATATCTGGAATTGCATCATCCGTCACTTCTATAATTTTGTTTTGCAGAGATAAGTATTTTAATTGCATTTATAACCCACGTAACTGCGATCACAATAATCTTATTTTTTACATATGACATAACACATGTTCGAGATAACGTGGGTGCAGAGTTGAAGTGCCATTTATTCTTGAAATTGCATCTAAATTAAGTAACAAACAAAATATCGAGTGATACATGGGGAATTGTCAATTGTCAACGATTTTATAGGTGAGCGATCACCCGATGCACGATATTCGACATAAATAGTACGAAGTCGTCATATTTTGTGATCGCTAGTAATTTATTACTTCGATTTAGTATGAAAATTAAAGAACCAATACCAAGATGCAAAGCATCCTTATTTCATAAGTAGATAGTTAACGTCGATTTCTAATGTATAAAACACTGGTCGAAAATTGATAAAACATACATATATTAGGTACCCAATATGTGCATGGTGTTTCCCTAATATCGGGCATATATCGGGTACCCGATATATGTAGAAAATATTTTATATATATAT